GGGCAGCGGTGTGCTTGTACTGCCCAGGGAGGCAGGTTGGTGGTGGGCAGCGGTGTGCTTGTACTGCCCAGGGAGGCAGGTTGGTGGTGGGCAGCGGTGTGCTTGTACTGCCCAGGGAGGCAGGTTGGTGGTGGGCAGCGGTGTGCTTGTACTGCCCAGGGAGGCAGGTTGGTGGTGTCACAGTAGCCCTGTGATATCCCCAGTCATCCTAGGGACAAGAGTACATCTTGTCTCTGGTATTCATTATTATGCCATCTTTATTGACATTTACATGCATAGGATGAGTTCCACAAAACTCATGTTGTGTGTGTGAGCATGTTGGGCATGTGTGTGTGTGTGTGTGTGTGTGAGCCGAGTCAACAAGAGGGCGTCTGTGTAGAGTAGATTTGTGTACTGTGATTTGTGAATTTTTTACTCACTGGATTTGAGAGTCCCTCGAGGGAGCTGAAGTAGAGGAGGGTAGAAACACCCTAAGCTACTCTATCCTCTTGAGGCATCTTATTGTCTCAGTAAACGTACTTGTGTAGAGTAGAAGCAAGGGAAGATTATTTTGGAAGAGCAGCAAACTATAGGACGATTACTCTCTAAAATGACAAAAGACCAACTGTAGAGTGATTGAAGTCTTCAACATGACTGAAGAGATTTTGTGTCAGTAAGTTTAACCCTTCTTTTGTGTTCTTAAAGTCTGCCATTAAGAGTTCGACCATTTGTACCAAAGTATGGGAGAGGACGAGAAGAACGAGGGATTATATCAAGCAACATTGAAAGCAGGAGTCGTGTGAACCTGATTACTTCGAAGTGTGCTAGTTTGTCGAACGGCAAGTTTGCCTAATTGGAGAACTTTAGCTAGTTCTTATTGCAGTGAGGATTAAATATTTGGAGTTTAGATAATACGTCTAAATTGTAGATTTCAACACTTTCCTCCACATCATTCTTCTTCATCCACATCTTCCTTCTTCCTCCACATCATTCTCCTTCCTCCACATCTTCCTTCTTTCTCCACATCTTCCTTCTTTCTCCACATCTTCCTTCTTCCTCCACATCTTCCTTCACATCTCCCTTCTTCCTCCACATCTCCCTTCTTCCTCCACATCTTCCTTCTTCCTCCACATCTTCCTTCTTCCTCCACATCTTCCTTCTTCCTCCACATCTTCCTTCTTCCTCCACATCTTCCTTCTTCCTCCACATCTTCCTTCTTCCTCCACATCTTCCTTCTTCCTCCACATCTTCCTTCTTCCTCCACATCTTCCTTCTTCCTCCACATCTTCCTTCTTCCTCCTTCTTCCACATCTTCCTCCACATCTTCCTCCTCTTCCTCCCCACACTCGTCCGTGGCCTGTGTGTGGTACACATGTGTGTGTGTGATGCACATGACCCAGACCTTGACCTTTAACCCAGGACAATGTGATCTGTAAGTTTGAAGAGAATAGATCAGTCCCCCCACAGTGTGTACTGACTTACACACGGCCGTAGTTGTTGGTCTCTGCGCCTCCACTTGAGTAGTTTTACAACTGTTTACGTTACGGCCGCCTGTGTCACCTGCTGGCTTGCTTCTTGGCCTGCGGTGTGCCTGGGCGGGCGGGCGGGTGGGTGGGTGTTGTACTACTTGTGCCTGCGGAATCTAGCTGATAGCTCTTGGACCCCGCCTTTCTAACCGTCGGCTATCTAATGTACTGACTTCGAACCTAATATTCTCTTTCTCTCATTCAGAGAGAGGGAGAGAGAGATATAACTCTGCAGAAGTGGACGAACTGGCTAGTGTCAGCCTGGTCATTACCAAGGTTGTACTTGGCCTGTACTAGTGCTGCCCGTCCCCGGTCACATGCACCAGTTGCTGATCTGTGATGGTGTGACCTTGGTGCGTTGGAGGGGGGGGGACTTGCCGGGGGACCGTGGGCGTGCGGGCGTGTCCATGCACGGACATAGAGGGCAGTGGTGTGGGTTGGGACACACAATACCTTATGAGCGCAAGCTAAGGAACTGTAATCCTGTCTGCTGCTGCTGCTTCTGCTGGCCGCCTGAGTCCTTCTGCCGGTCAGGTTAGAAATGTGGTAAGCGTATGCACAGGATTGGTGCTTATACTTGCCTAGATGTGTCGGCACGGTTGAGCCACAGCTCCCCATCCCCGCCTCCCGAACATTCTTAGTTCAAGCAGCTACTCGGTTTCCATGTTTTTCTGTTTTGAAGTTGTGAATCGAGCCTGTGTGGTCACTTGTTTGTTAAATAGTAAGGTTCCTCGACTATGGGAGAGGATGGCTGGAACGTACGTACGTGCGCGCACGCACGCGTGCGTGCGTGCGTGTGTGTGTGTGTGTGTGTGTGTGTGTGTGTGTGTGTGTGTGTGTGTGTGTGTGTGTGTGTGTGTGTGTGTGTGTGTGTGTGTGTGTGTGTATTCACCTAGTTGTGCTTGCGGGGGTTGAGCTCTGCTCTTTCGGCCCACCTCTCAACTGTCAATCAATCAACTGTTACTAACTACTATTTGGCAAGTTTTCATGCTTGTAAACTGTTTAATAAATGTAACCAAAGCCGTCAAAGATCGAGGACAAATGTACATGTTCGTAAGTGCTTGCGTAACTGCTTCGTGAATTTGGCCCTAGGTGGTTAATTCAGTTCAGTACTCGCCTAGTTGTGCTTGCGGTGCTTGAGGTTCAGCTACTTGGTCCCGCCTCTCAAGTGTCAATCAACTAGTGTACAGTTGATTGACAGTTTGAAACTGTTTATGGAGTCTGCCTCCACCACATCACTTCCTAATGCTAATTCCATTTGTTAACTATTCTGACATTGACAAATTGTTTCTAAAAATGTATGTGGCTCATTTTGGGTACTCGGTTTCCACCTGTCTCCTTGTGCGAGTGCCATCCATGATAAATAACCTGTCTTTATTAACCTATCAATTCCCCCTGAAAATGGTAATCATGTCTCCCCTAACTCTTCTGTCTTCCAGCGACGTGAGGTTCAATTCATGTAGCTTTTTCTCGTAACTCATACCTCTTAGTTCTGAGGCTAGTTTGGTGGCATACCTTTGAAATTTCTCTAACTTCATGAGCTTGACTGGGTACAAGTATGGATTCCACTCTGGAACCGCATATTCCTGATTGGCCTCACATACGTGACATACAAGGTTCTAAGCGAGTCCTTGGAAACATTTCTAAAGGTTCTTTTGTTGGCCAGCCTCGCGTATGACGCTGATGATGTATCCCTTTGATGTGGGCTTCTGGAAACAGACCCGATGTGATATAAACTCCTAGAATTTTCTATGTCCGTTTCCTGAAGGATTCCCACCACCTTGTTTCATTACTTTAAATTTACTTTAAACTCTAGTAGCAATTTGATGGACCATTCTTTCAGTTTGTCCAGATTATCTTGTAGCCACTTGCTGTCTTCCTCTGTTAATGATTTTGTTAATTTTTGCGTCATCAGCAAACATTGAGAGAATCGAGTCTATTCATTCTAAACTGCCATTGGAGACATTCTGCCCGAAACGCTGCGCGTGCTAGTGGCTTTATAAGACTGTAATTACCATATTTGTATCCTCACATTCCTTATGTACATTCTTGTATATAAATAAATAAATAAAACTTACCTGAAGGCTACCATCTCTCTAGTGGGCTCGACGAAGAGACGAAGGCAGGAAGCCGACAATTTGTCAAATTTGTCCCTGATTTTATCCATCTGTATGTACAATGTTTCGGCAGGTAGGCGTTTCCATGGGTTTATAACCCAGTGGGTGAAAGAGTATCTCCTGTTTTCTGTCCTGCATTGTGGTTTGTTGACCTTAAAGCCGTTGTTCCTTGCGTGTGTCACATTTGACCTTTTCAGTTCCGGGTCAGTATCCTCCAGATTGTTTACTCTCTTAAAAAATTTCTACGAGATCTGCCATGTCGTGTTGTTAGTCCTGTGGCCTTCAACTGTTCCTGGAAATAAGAGTGGAAATCGTTCTGGGATGATTGGTGTCGAACTTTCTCCAAAAGTCGGTAATGTACGCCTTTCTGAAGATGATTGTTGTTGTTTAATTAAGCTCCAGCTACTGGGAACAAAAAGTTCCAAGTAGCACGGGCTATGGTGAGCCCATAGTGGACTTACCTGGCACAGGAGCGGGACTGTGTATGAGAAATAGGATTGGTGAGGTCAGGTCGGGTGGTGGTGTAGGTGAGAGCAGCTAGGTCAGGTGGTGAAGGCGTGGGTGACCCAGCACAGACAGTGAGGTGAGGGCAGACCAGGTGAGGACAGGCCAGGTGGTGGCAAGGGCAAGGGTGGAGGACGGCTGTGTTTTCCCCGCGGCATTATCGATCCCACTGCGCATGAATGGCGGGGCGGCCAGCCTTTGTATCCATCCACTCACTCACACACTCACTCCGCCGCCGCCACACGCTCCCTCCCTCTTCCCCCTCACTCTCCCTCTCCCCTCCTTGCTCTCCCCTTCCCCTCCTAACTCTCCCCTTCCCCTCCTCACTCCCTCCCCCCACCTCACTCTCCCTCCACCCCACCCACACTCCACCACCCACCATTCCCTTACTTCTATAGTTCCCCCCCCCTGTCTTCTTTTGTTACGCTTGTCTTCATCTTAGCGGAATATGAAATCAATTTCCGCACGAATGTCTGTTATGGCGAGGGTGACAGGTTGGCCCCGAGGGGGGTCGAGAGGGCTGGGAGGCTGATGCTGGCGCCGCTGTACGGAAGTGAGTGCACACAAGCGATGCGCTATGGAAAGGGTGAAAATGAAATTGATTTAGTGCTCAGGTCGGGTGGCACCCTGCTCCCGAAGCGTCTGCGACTGCGTCAGAATTTGCACGAGATCCGGATCGGCCTCCCCGGCCCGGGCTACGGTTTCACACGCTCGTCCTTCTTTCTGTTTTGCAAGTGAAACTGAAGCTCCATGCCGGGTAGGTAACTTTGTATTACTGCCTCTTGGCTAGTGTAGTGGGGGGGGGGGGGAGCGTTTAGTTAGGGATGTTTGGGCGGTGTGTGGGGGTGGGGGAGCGGGCGAGAGGCAGGTAGCC